AGTTGTACATAGAAATACTATTTGATCCAGCAATCCCACTACTAGAAATACATCCTAAAGAGGTGAGATATGCATACCCATGTTCATCGCAGCACTATTCACAATAGCAAAGAGATGGAAATAACTTAAGTGCCTATCAACAGATGAAAGGATAACCAAACTATTGTACATACACACAGTAGAATACTAATGAAGAATCTGCAAAACATCTCATAACATGGATAAGTTTGGAGGACATTATGCTGAATAAAATAACTCAATCACAGAAGGACAAATATTCTATGAGTCCAGTATTATAAAATGTCAAGGGAAGGTTTAGGCAGGGAAGGAAATTTATTTTGTTGGTTCAGGGACAGGAGGGGAGGGGAGGGGAGGGAAAATTGCTGACTAGTTAAGAAACATGTGGATTTGATACAAACATTGTGGAAAGCAGTAATGGTGGCTCCTTAAAAAGTTGGAATTGGAAATACCATTTGACCCAGCAATCCCATTACTAGGTATATATCCTAAAGAAGTAAGAGCCAGCACAAGAACAGATATATGCACACCCATGTTCATTGCAGAACTATTTACAATAGCCAAAAGATGGAAACAACCTAGGCACCCATCAACAGAAGACTGGATAACCAAACTATGGTATAGACACGCAACGGGATACTATGCAATCCTAAAGAACAACATAGAATCTGCAAAACACCACATAACATGGATGAACTTGGAGGACATTATGCTGAGTGAAATAAGTCAATCACAGAAGGACAAATATTGTACTAGTATACTATTGTAAAAAGTCAAGGAAAGGTTTATATAAGGGAGGAAATTTTCTTTGTTGGTTACCAGAGATAGGAGGGGAAGGGAGGGAACACTATTAGATAGGTAGAGAAAAGTATTAATTTGGGTGAGGGAAGGGCAATGTACCAAATGTGAGTGATCAGTGCGGTACCACTGAGGAAGAAGACATAGAGAGAAAGGTGCATGGGAGGTACAAACAACAAAGAAGAACCCTTTTGCACGTACAGTACTGTACTGTCAGTGATGGCAAACATTGATCTATGGGTGGATAGATGGGTAGACAGGCTAAAGTATTAGGTATGTCTATGCAGGGGGGAGTGTGCCCCATAATCATGTATAGGGTTGGCAGACAAT